TTTTACAGAGTAAAAGAAGTTTAGGGTTGCCACATGAGCTTCAATTAGAGGAACATAAAAATAATAGAGAGACAATATCACAAAAAAATACATATAAGAGGGGATTTCAGAGGTCCCTCCCCTCCTTTTTCACCCTCTTTTCCTGGTCGAACTCCCCCTTTACCGAATCACAAACTGAAACCCCAAATGACTAACAGATTCCAGACACCATGTTTCAACTGTCAGAACACAGAGTTCAGGTTCTTTGCCAGAGCGTGTGCGGTCACATCTTTACCCTGTACCATCCCCCAGGGCAATCCTGGAGAGGGGGAGGGGGTGCAGCAGCTGAACTGTCGACTTGACCCTGAGGATCACCTTAAGACTGTAGTTTTGCATGTCTCTCCACCGTAAACATGAGTTCCTGAGCTGGACCCAAACAACAAAGCTCCTTTTTCTCTTAGAAAGTGAACTCTGAGAATGGAGCGGGGTCAAACTATCGTTCAAACATTCTGTGGCATTTTTTCTTTTCTTTTTTTTTTGGTCCGGTTTGGTTAGTAGTGCTGCAGCTGCACCTAATCCCCACAGGAAAGCCTTCAGCTGGGACTGATTTTAGAGTGCCTGGGCTGGGGTGGGAGAAAGGGGGGACTGTTCTGTAAAAGGCTTGTTCCCTTCTGGGGCACAGGCCTCTTCTCAATCCATCTGATTAAAGGGGGTTTGGCTCAATTACACCCAATGACTGGGCCCTGCTCTCAAGCACGACCCTGGTAGAAAAACACACAGAAATAGATGGTGGAGAGTGAACAGAGGTTGTGAGCACGTGCTTCACACCTGGGGCCCTCCCATCCATCCAACGCAAAACCTCTCCCTCTCTTCCTCTCTCTCGCTGTCTCTCTCTCTCTCAGCTAACAGCACAGTCTGTCAGCACTGCTTGCCTCATCGGGTGAGCTCTTTGTGTAACCCGTGACTGGGTTGGGAAAACAGTGGGGTCGGCTCTCCGGGGACAGGCTTATGTCTTCTCCAATCGGCAGGCTGGATAGCGGTGGGCACCAGGTCACAGCGATCTGTTTTAATCAGCCTCATGCCAGAAAAAAGACAGAGGTGCAGAGGTACGCCAACAAGAGGAGTAATTGCGTGCGCATGCACATGTGTTCACTTGTATGTGTTCATGTGCTTGAGAAGAGGAGCAGAACATTGGTAGTATCTGAGGACTATTACGGAGGTTAGTTTTGAAGCCAGCACTTTCTCTGAGGTTATTATTTGGTCACGCTGAATCCTGACCAACCAACTGACCCTCGGAGAACTCACTGTCAGCTTTATAACACGATTACAAGCTACCATACAGGCACGCATCATTAAGACCTTGCTGTATTAAATCTGGGAGTGCGGTGAATCTGTGTGTGTTGCTGCTAAAGCAGGGGAGTATGGATAATTATCATGACGTCTCAAGCATTTACACGGCAAGCTGTTTGCAATCGTGCCCAGTTGTAAAGTTCGCTGATTGCAGCTGGCTTGGAGGCCCTATTAAACTCATTATTATAATTCAGGTTTATAGAGGGAAGAGTATGAGGGAGGCAGCAGTACACAGAGATCCACGCTGTTCTCCAATGTGCAGATCTGCAGCTTGTATGGAAAACGGTCCTGCAGTAATAGCTACCTTTACACAGTTAAAAACACCCCTCTCAGACTCATCACCCTCTATGCCTCAATTTTTCAGTCTCCATTTCAACCCCAACCAAAAAATAAACATTTCCCCTCCATTATTCGCCATCCAAATTATATTCCACCCACAACCCCATTTTACTGGCTCATGCTCCAGGGCCTCTTTATGTTGTGACACTCCAAAGAAAACAGTCCTACTGAATGTTGTGGACGAGCACAGCTAACCTGATACAAGCCAGCTCGCTGCTCCAATTACACAGCATGTTTACCACGGCCCTTTTAATTAAAAACAGGCAAGAAAAAAAGAACAAATCCATCTTTATATGCACCTCAGGCCTAAAATGACAGGGAGGAAATGCTCCACTATGGATGTTTGACTTTGACCTTCCTCAGCTGCTCATGGTTCAATCTATCAAGTGCAGAGAGAAATGGAGACAAGGTCTCCTTTTGATTATTGCATTTTGTCTTTTTCATAGCTGCTTCGTCATAGACAAGAGACATGCACTGAGGCAATGCTGAACTAAAACAAAATTATCCACAGAAAACCCACCATGCTAACAAACAAGAAACAAAGAATTAAAGCCCCGACGGCAAAAGGGAACATGAGGACAGCCCATTGCTGAAGGAGGCTGAATGATGGAAAGTATGGTGCCTTTGCCTAAGAAACAACACTGCACAGTAAGATACTGAGTAAATAGAGGCTAGCATGCCTGGAAGGAGGCCCAGACACGAGCCTCTGTCCCCCAGATGTATTATAAAACATAGATAAAAACAGATACAGTAAGACTGATTAAACAGTAAGCAGCAATGTACATTTTGACCTTGCTCAAAACCTCGAAACAGGCCAGCCATTGCTCTTATCAGAGACTGCTGATTGCAGACTGCGTCTCGGAGCAATTTGGCTATATAAAGTGTTTGGCCAGCGCTTTGGTGGATATGACTGAATAAGACGAGGTGAATACATTTTCCCCTCAATTTAACTCCTGAAGGCTTGCTTACTTTTGACAGAGTTTTGGATACTTCCCATTACAGAGATTACCAGACATGAACACAGCCTCGGCCCGCAACAGCAGTTTGGGTGAAAAGCCCAGACGGGACATTGGTCAAAGCTGCAGCTACATTTAGAAAGAGCAAGAAGAAGGGAGGAGGTGAGGGATTAATAAGGAAACGTGTGTGGAGGGATTGTGTTAATGAGTTGCTAATATACATAAAAAGTCCCTTATAGACCTATTTAACAAAAGATAAACGTATGTGTAATGTAGATTAAAAAGAGCTCAATGAAAATGGGGGAAAACACTAAAGTTGCTTTGCCAGAGTCTAATATAGCTTTAAAGAGAAATCTTTCTGGCTCAATGGAAAACATTAGGGGAAGAAAATCAGTTGAAGGGTGAAGGCAATATTGCAGCAGAGAAGTCATGAGAAATGAGACGGAAGGAGAAAAGAAAGAATGGCAGTTCTCAAGGGCAAGGTCTCATCTGCCATTTGACTGTCTACCTGTTTTATATCAGAGCTGGTCTGCAGGCATCTGGAGGGGATGTGGCCTTGGGAGTGATAGCTCTCTGACACACCATCCCGGCATACGATAGCATGATTGAAGTGATTTAATACAAGACATACTGCAGACAGGTCAGCACACATGCACTCGTACAATTACTGAACATCCAACAGGGAAAAAAAAAAAAAAAAAATCACAGTATTTCAAATGAATTTGATTCAAAATTCAAAGCTAATGAAATGTGTTCAATAAGTCTTAGATGATTTGCTCCTCTGTTTATTTGAGAAAGTGTAGACAGACTCAGAGAAAACCAGACAGTGGCTGAGTAAAAAGGCACCAGGAATGCTTAACAGCTTGTCCCCAGATGAGCAGGATAATTCAGTAGAAATCCTCACACTGTTGGTACATTCTCCTCGAGTTGTGCCATCATCACACCTACAAAACAGTGTCTCTTAAGTAAACTTCAACATTCCTCTGTCTATAAGCAAAGGCACCAAGGAGACAACCCTTCCAGTTAAAATGACTAATTATCACTTGTGGGGATTTTTCCAGACGTCTAGTAAGAATATAAAAAAAATATTTGCTTTGGTAATAGGATGTTAAAAAATGTGTCATCAGTGGCATCAGATATCCTTCATTTCCATGAAAAGTACGCTGCAACCAAACAATGCGATGGACGTCAAAGAGACACTGAGACAGGCAACTGTCTGTCTCACTCAAAAGAAAGAGGAAGTGGAGGAAATGGAGATGAGTGGCGAGCGTGAGGGCAGTGGGAGGAGGGAGAGCGGAGGTTGTTATTTAGGAACCTGCTGTGTCAACTCTTAAACATCTCTCTTAAACGTCTCTCTCTCTCTCTCTCTCTCGCACAGACAAATTCCAAAAGGGAAGGAAAAACAATGACTGCTTCCCCATGATAGTCTTGGCCTCATAAAAACAGTTCTCACTATTTACAAAAATCTACCTTGTACATCTTTCACGCTTTCTGCTCCTTGCTGCAACCAAACATGGGCACATACAGACGCTCAAATACCTAAGCTAGAGAACAGATGTGGAATCTGTGCTGCCACAGAAAAGGCAGAGCGAACACGCACCTCTCTCTCTCTTTTACCGCTCTGTGCTCCTACCTCACTGCCTTCTTACAGTCATATTGATGATCATTCATTTATTCAATGCTGCATGACCTAGTAAAGTTTGGTCAGCTCTGGTTTGGAATGACTTGGCCCGCCAACCTGTTTATACTAAAATGGATGAGCTGGATCTGACAAAGGAGCCTTCACTCCCACCCCCTCTGTTCTCTTTCTTCCTCCATCCTTCCATTCCTCTCCTCTCTGGAGCCCGGCCACGCTCCCGCTCTCCTCCAGTCCTCGGCAGCCGTGTTTGGAAAAATAAACGAAGGGACTGGAGAAGGTCAGGAGCAGAAATGACAAGTGGAGAGCTGAAGGGAGAGGTGTCAATGTGTCTACTGCTGGTGCCTGACCCTTCACAGTGGTTATGGACAGAAGAACACACACACACTCTCTCCTCCGCTGAGAGAGAGGATAGGAGTCTCTGTGTGTGTGTATGCGTGTGGCTCTGACCCAGGAAATGGCAGGAATGTGGAGGGACAGTGTGAGAGCTCTGGGAGGTCGGCCTGCCCGTCCGGCTGTACAGCCGCGAGGAAGCTTCACAATATGCGGAGGCCATCCATACCACACACTAATATCCACATTCCACACACACACACACACTGTATGCTAAGTATGTCAGATCACACAGAGAGACACTCTGTGACACATGACTCTCACTGACAAGCATTTGAGACAGTCAGTGTCATGGCTGGGCCAGTCAGTTATGGGGGGCAGTGGTTGCACACTGATGTTGTACTCACCCACTGGAAGTGCCCAGTGACACAGAGTTGAGAGAAGAGCTCAGCTTCCTACTGTCCCACAGCCTCACTTCCCGACTACGCATCTATACACACAACAACATGAGACATTAATGAACAGAGGCAGACACAGAAATCCATACCAACAGATAAGAGACATACAAGCAACCAAAACCAATACATTTTTTCCCTCAATATATTGGTCTGATGGTCATAACCACCACTGACAGGTGTAGTGTTGTTCTTTATTGTTCATTCTCTATGTTATGATGTTATCTCAAGAGGAAAGACAGAGCACAGGATTGTATTTTTAGTATAAGACAGTGCACATTCATCTGATAATTAAAAATGCTGGATATGATTAATTTCATAATTATAATTCAGAAAGTAAGTAGGGTCAGCTTGGTGAGTTCGGACCCAGCCAGTGAGTCTGGATTGATAATACTAACAGTGCTGTTGAAAATGAAGGCTAACAGCTTAACTGCCCGACCATGTTAAAAATCATCCTTACTTCTAAGACCTAAATCAATGTTCACTTTGCACCTCATATTTTTTTCCCCAAGTATTACTCCAGTAATGTAGCCTTGATTGTTGAAATTTAATAATTACATTGGTATTTGATGATATTAAATAAATCTTGAACAAAAAAATGGCTAATATCCATGTTAACAAAAAATCAAACCACTTAGCAAATAGATATATATTACTGTGGACCCTAATAGGTGTAAAAAAAACACTGTGACACAGCTGTGTCGAAGAGTTTCTCACCATATCAAAGCCAGTGGTGAGTAAAAAGTCGTCTTTGGCCCACAGGATGCGTGAATCCTTGTTGTTCTGAAGACTCTTGGCACTCTACGGGACAAACAATGCAAAATATGTAACTCAGGCACTCCAAGAGCATCACAATTAGACAAATTAAACATATCTCACTTGACTACTTGTTACTGTCCTTCTTATGTCAATGTCTCCATGATAAACCCTAAATTTAAACATAACCTTGAGGTCTAGTTCAAGATAACAAGGGGGGTGATGAGTGAATGATTTGCAGGGAGGAGAATAAAAGACAAGAGAGAGGAAGGAAGACAGACAGGACTATTCCCAGGTGCCTCTGACAGACCCCGGTGGTTGGACAGAACAGGACTTGTCCCATGAAAGGAGCGCTTGTTGTTGTTGATGTAACAGACAAGGTGACTTCTGCCCCGGGTGCAGCTTAGATTACTGCACCGTGGCATTGCGTCCGTGTGTGTGTGTGTGTATGTGTATGTGTGTGTATGAGAGAGGGAGAGAGAGAGAGAGAGAGACAGTGTGTGTGTGGTGTGTGTGTGTGTGTGTGTGTGTGTGTGTGTGTGTGGTCATGGTACTGTGACTTTGTTACGCTGTTTCCATGGGGAATATGTGTCAAAACAGCACTGCTGAGAAGGATTTGATAGGTGGTCTTCAAATACAAATGACACATGTTGTCAGTGGTAATGGCTAAAAACAACTGTGAGTGTTGAAATGAGAGAATGTTTGTAAAGACAACATGTTTAAGAGAAGCATGAGGCTAGTGGAAGGGGGAATGAAAGATATTTAATTATGCGGAGCCTTGTATGTGCTGCACTCAACACCGAGCTGCTATTGAATCAGGTCATAGATGGACTGTAATTATGAAAGTGAGGACAAAAGATGAGAGAAGATGCACCAGGCTGGTTCATGGTTTGTCAATCAACTACATAAAACTGTGATTGCTAAGTAACCAGGGTTTTGCCATTTAGACCTTATCTTTCAGGCCCTTAGTCCTTGTAATGTCTCACAGCCGGAGTCAGTTACTGAGCCCCCTGGTATCTGTGTACTAAATACTAGAGTTACACTAGAGTTTTCCCATAAGGCATGGAGGTCAACGACGAAGTTTCCATTGAACAGGAGGCCCGGTAGCCCCTCAACCAACTGTGTTTCCCCAAATTACCTTTGTCATTTTTATGGCCACACTCGCCCAGAGCAGCGTGGCCGGGCGGCTGTGTCATGGCAAGAAGACAGTGTCTTATTATCCATGGCTTAGCACTCACAACCTCTCTAAACAATGTGCCGCCTCATCCTCGTGTCACTGTTGCATGACCGCAGATGACAAATTGTAAAGACAAATGGGACGAACTTGAGCTGCCATGTTGCACCCCAGAACACGGGGGTAGGTTACAGGGCCATGAACTGTACAACCTCCAGTAACCTCCATTAAGATTCAACTATGTCCACTGAGCACTTGCCAAAACTACAACTGAAGCTAACAGTTGAATATAGTATGCGGATGAAAACAGAATATTAAATCCAGTTTGAGAGGCACATCTTCGTGTGAAGATGTGCGCGTGGACATGCACACATGTGGGCCCTATCAATTCTAATTCAAACCCCATTTCCTTTTCTCTCCTTTCTGACATCACTCTCGCCGCACGCCCATCCTGGTGGTTTGAAAAATTGACTGCCGAGAGGGGGAAATGGAGCGCTGGTCATTTAAATTACTTCAGACTGTCAAAATTTGACATTTCATCGCTGCTTGCTCTTCCCAAATCCTCTCCAGAGTGCTTCTTACTCCATTACATGTAGACAACAGATGACACATGTGTCAGCTTTGATGTCAGCAGAAGTTCTCTGGACAGAAGAAAATGGAGGAGAAAGGGTGGTCTTTCTTAGTGTGTGGAACGGCTGCTCGTTTTATTGATTTCAATGAAAAGGAATTTTAAAAGCTCACTCCCTTCCCCATGAGGGTAGTGTAATCACATCTTATGTTGTTAAGAAAATATAGATATGTAGAAATGAGACTGATTTTATGATGAGTCATTTCTTGATTAGCACAGACCAAGCACATGCAGCAGCTCAGAAATCATAGAGGCTGCCCTTCATCTACACTCTTGTAACCAAACAACTAAAATAAAAGATACAACATGTAATTCAGCCAAAAACCTTAATGGTATTTTTTACATTTCTGTTTCTGTACAAATTAAACAAATGTATGATAATGAGCTATAGAGGGGTTAGTAGGCAAATTTTAAACTGTGGAGTGAGCTACACTTCATGCTATGCTAAGCTTCCTCCTGGCTTTATCACTGCTCTTAATGCCCAAAAATGACAGTGGTGCTAATCTTCTCATCATTTTTTTTTTTTTTTTTTGTAGGGGGGGGGCAAAGAAGCCAATTTTTGCAAGCTTTGCTGGTCTGAACATGTGCCTCACATATCTCTGTTCTGTACACCATGAGATGAAATTGAATTGATATAACTCTTGTCTAACTGAGAGTCGAATAGAAAACAAGCATATTTCCCAAAATGTTAGACTTTTTTGCTAAATGTAAAGCATAGGCCAAGACTCCTGTGTTGGAACCATCCCTGCCAGTGAAGCTGAACGAACTATAAATCGTCAGCAGTTCATGGAATGTGTGCTCAGTGGCCACACCGGTGGTTTAAACTAAATTTATTGTTCTCAGCTATAAGGGGACTTGACATTGCTACATATGTTGAGAGCACACGCCAACATCATCACAGTTTCAAAAAGGAAATTCTCACATGTGCACTTCTGCCCCTCGCTCAGGGATGATGTATCTTTGTCCATACCAGTGTTTTATCTGATACCATCTGTATGTTATACAGATGTTTTCTGGCTCCCGGTGTGCTCCCAAATAACTTTATCCACTAAGAGGGATTAGCAAACATTCTACTGACCTGGCTCTCAAACACGTTTCTAAAGTTACACTACCAAAGCACTGACAGAGTTGATAATAAGTCCTGGATTGAATAAACACTTCAGTCGTGACTGGTGATCATTTTTCAGCCTGCAGTCAGACGGTATGCCTCGTGCAGGTGAAGGAACTCATATTTGCCTCGATAAGTCCATGCAAGTGAGTCTGTTGAAAATAAATAGCCCAGATGTACAGGAGAGATCCAGAGTAAACTAAGACCTCCAAAAAAGCAATAGATCAGAAAAGAGCCAGGGAAGGAGAAAGGGAGGCTATAGCCTGCACGTTATAAACAGACATGGAGGGAATTCATTGCCACTGAGCTGTTCATCACCAGCACCACTGGCTGATTTCCTTCCAGGGGCAAGACAATGTAGAACTGGCACTCTGACCAAACTAGGAACAAGTTGAGCACAGACTATTTTAATCTGCTCAGGGTCTGCTTAACACTGGTACTGCTTTTAGGAGCAACATGTGGTGTCTGATTCATATTTCTGGCAACAACAGGAGATTCCAGTTGTGTTCATATTACACGCAGGAGTAAACAGCATAAATTCTGCATCATCACTTTTCGCCATATTCTATTTAGGCACATGTGTGCTGTGAGCTTAATGCTATTATCATCAAGCTAACATGCTCACCATGGCAATGCTAAGATGCTGATGTATATAATGTTTACCATGCACCAGCTAGCTAAGCTATGTTACCATGCTAAAGGAAAAGGTCAAGGAATCAGCAAAGTGATTACGATTAATCTTTAGAGCAAAATGAATATCTGCACCAAATTTCATGGCAATCCATCCAATATATATGTCAAGACATTTCACTAATACCCAAAAAATGTCAACCTGCCGGTGGCGCTACAGGTAATGCCAGGGGATCCCCAAAGTCAATGGGATTCATTGTCTTAGGACCATATATGTCTAAAAAATTTCATAGCAATCCATCCAATGGTTGATTGGATAGCCGACTGACACTGCCATCCCTAGAGCCATGCCACCAGTATGGCTATAAAGGCAATTAGCAATTGTCTGCAAGGTTCAAAACACACCCATTCTTACCCTGCCTTTTGCACCTGGGGAGGACAAAAGGACAGATTTTTTCTTCAGGGGATCAATAAAAAAAAAAGAATACTGAAAATATATCACCTTTCTGTGAACCTTCTCTCAAGCAGACAGGCTTAGTTTTGCCATTACAGCATCCCTCAGGCCTTCACTACGCTGCCTGAGCCAGCCAGCTCTAGGGCTGAAGGCAAATAAACTGGTCTGACATCTCTCACGGTAGACAGCTATACATGCTCCATAGATCGCACTGCCATGATGTCATCCTTCACCCGGATCTGAAGGCACGTGCAGCTTTGAGCCGTTTAACTAAGATGTCATCAGGGCTTGGCGGCTGGAGCGACAGAAGTGCAACTGCGGATTAGAGGTTTGTGCTGGGCCTCCGCTCACCCTTTCCCAATAAACAGCGTTTGAGCTTAAGGAAGCGTAACACAGCCATCAGAGAGCTGCACAAAACTACTAACACCACGGGGCAGCCAGAGGACACAACATCTGGACCTTGTGTGTGTGTATATAAATGTTGCCAAACAGTATCTCTCCTCTGCAGTCGTAAATTTAACTCAAATCCCATTCACCTAGAGCCCCCCTCCTCGCAGCTGAAGCTTACTGACATGCTACAAATCGATCATGACACACTTGAAAACGGGGCAGAAAAGGAGAGGGGAAGGGAGAGATAGAAAAAAAATAAATAAATAAGACAAATGTTTTCCTTAGCAGCAGAACAAAGGATCCAAGCTGATGGAATTCACACAGAAGGACAGAGAGGGGAGAGGAATGGTTCATGACTTGACAAAATACACAGAGGAGGTGTAAAGAATCAGTTACACCTGCTCGAATGACTAGCTCGGATACACAATAAAGGAAGTAGAGGAAATGACATCACATCTGGGAAAAGAATATATATTACCAACAGAGGTGTCTGCATCTACATGTGAAAAAATATTTTTCAGGCTGCTAAATAGCGAAATGATTAATAGCTACAAAGAGAGTGAAATAAAAAAAAAAAGGATCAAAGTTTCCCTGGCTGTGATAATGCTACTCAAACTCAAATGACACCAGACAGGGTTTAGACTCAGGTTAAACACTTTGC